GTGTAAGACTAGAAAAGAAAAGCTTCATAGCAGCAAGAGAATGATGTGTATAATCTATTTTTCCCACTTTGGAATTATCTTTCAAATTATACACAAAACCTTTAAAAAAAAAAAAAAAAAGCATAAACATTTTTTCTGTTTAAAGCACTTTTCTTTTTGGGGGGAAACATTTGGCTTTTTTGCACAACATGCATGAATACAATTTAGAAACTACATTTCTTTTTTTCTAAAATGTCATGAGGATTTTTTTAGCATTTTCTGCTCATGGAGAAAAAAGAAAAAACCCACCATGTAAAACCCCTACCCACCCATGTCTATAACGGAGGAAACTCACGAAAGACAGTTTTTAAAACTTCAGTTCAGAGAGCAGTTTACATAAGAAGAGCAAATAAAAAAAACATGAACACGAAAAATTTACACAGTATGTGTGTAACTCTGAAAGAACTATTGGAAGGTTTTGGCTATGAATTAACAAAAAAAAATTCAAGTAAGGTTAAATAATCGCACTGAATCCAAAAAAAAAAAAATCTAAGTCTACAAGTGACTTGGCTTTCCTTAGTTTATATACTACTATACTATAACACAAGATTGTCCTACGTCTAGTCACCTGTCGGGGCGTAGCTTTCAAGACAACGTGCGTTACCCCGTGGGAATCCAGCCCAGAAAAAAATCAAATAACTTAAAGAAAAATGAAAGAAAACAAAAAAAAAAAAAAAAAAACCCTAACAGCCCACTGAACTCTCCTCAACCACCATCCCCTTACCCTTCTTAAGGAGTGTGTTTTTTAAAAGTGCATCAATATTGTTCCAAGTCGCCCACTCTCAAAAAAAGTTAATGGTAAAATTGATAACAGGAGAAACTGCAGCACACCTAAACTGACCCCCCCCCCAACCCAAACCCCAGACAGCACCAGGGATTCCTCCTCCTCCTCCTCCTCCTCCTGTGTGTCACTCAAGTATCGTGCAACTGCAGAAACATTTTATAGCTTAAGTTAACTTCCTTGCCGTTCCGCTATCATTCACCAATCCAGACTTCTAGCATTTTCCCCCACTTTCCACATGCATCGCTTTCCAAATAAGAAACCTCATAAGAAAAAAACCCTTCAACATGCATTCGTTTCCTCTCAAACCTGGTAAAAACTTGCCAAATCTCCTTTTCTTCTAGTAACGTGACACCAGTACTACATGCAAACCAACAACTAAACACTCCTAATTGCTCTCTAACAACGTAGGAGATACACCAGGAACAGAACAATAATAATGTAGCCTGGCTGTGATAATACATGCACATATCATCCTGTTAACATACTGTACTGGTCTGTGGATTTAGCAGTGAAATCAAAAACTTAATAACTGACCTTGTCCTGTGTTAACCTTTAACAATCGCCACTGCCCCCCTTGATCTCAAAGCCCCTCATGTCCTTCCTCTGTGAGCAGGCCCAGCCCACTCCTGGCCCGCACTTTTCAGCATAAATAGTAAGCAGTGCTACAGGTGCACAGTATGATAGAGAGAGAGCAGCTAGCTACAGTAGCGCTCTTCTGGCTGGATATCACCTGGGTTTAAATGCCATGTACTGTACTATGAGCATTTCAAATCACTACTATAGAAATTTTCCTGCACACATGAGTATGAATCACAGGTGAGGAAACCCCATTAAAACTGTGAATTGATAACTGCTTGCTAAAGATGATAAAAGAGTAACATAACTAAATGCTAGCTAAATATACAATAATTATCATATCCTATCTTTGCTAGGTTGTATCAAAAGAAAAATACGTATATATATATTTCATATAATTATGCTGTTTTTTTTTTCAAGTATGAAAATATATTCAGATTTCCATTCTGGGAAACCTAAGGCACTATATCAAGTTTTCAAGAATTTACCGTTTTTTTTTTTTTTTAATAGCTTGTTTGATTACATGTGGCCCGTACAAAAGGTCAAAGTACACCTCACCGGGTATGAATGGGGCAAAAAAAAAAAAAAAAAAGGGAAAAACTAGAAATTTATTATTTTCTAAAAGTTCATAGATCGTCACACCATCGCTCATGTGGCATTACTGGCAGCTCATGCCCTCTCGCTCCAGTTAGTTCACCGGTGGACAGTAATGAGTGGTGTGTGTGGGCCGGGTGGCGGTGGGAGTTCATAAGTTGACGTCCCGTACATCTGTGGGGGTGCTGGACTGGTCTTGTTGCTCCCTCGCCTTGTTGCCTGCTCTGACCCCGGTCTCCTGTCGGTACTGCTGCCCCTGCTGCAGGCTGGTGGCCAGCACACGCTCTATTTGCTCTTGGCATGCCTTCAAACAATCCTGGAACAAAAAGGGTCAGACGTCGTCACACATACACACACTTCAGTTACACTTTTAAGAAAGGGGAGGCTTTTACAACCTTGTGGAGTTAATTTTGTTTGATTTTTACCTTGTTTCTATGCATTCATTGTTATTGTCTTTTGTTTAGCACCTTCTAAACTGTCCTTACCCCAAATGTGTATGATTTGTTTTGCCAATTTAAGAAAGTATAAAGCTGGCAGGAACAAAAAATACAAGAGAAATTAAACAGGTGCATACAAAAACAAAATATTGTGTGACTTAGAACAGTTCATGGTTGTAAAAAAGCTGTTTTACTATTTATACACACAAATACAGCAGAAACAGTATAGGAAATGAAACGATGATATGGTCTATTTCCATTTAAAGTGATTGTATCTAAACTAATTTGAGCGTTTTTCATTGAAAGTCTGAATATATTAAAAAGTCAAGGTTTAAAAAAACTGCCCTAAATATTGTGTATGGTCTACTCTACAGACATGAACGATACATCATTTGAAAGCCCCACGTCAGCACTTTCAATCGATTTTCTCAGTTTGTCTCTACATGATACACAAATAAAGTTATGTTACTATAAATTAAAACCGGTCTGGTGCATTCACCGATCAATAGCCGGACACCAGACGGTTTAATCTGTACACCCGTACGCAGACAATGGCGTGCAAAAATCTAGCGTTTCATTACATCTGATGTGCAAGTTGTTTAACAGCTTTGGTCACATGCATGGCATACCAGCAGGGAATTATGTGTCTTGAGGTAGGTGGTCCTGTCTGCATCATGACCAGAACAATGGGTACCAGCACACACCAATACCAACAACACAGTGCAGAGGGCTACATGGTGGGCACAGGAATCCTCTCCAACACTGGACCTGTGCACGTCTGAGGTATGAATACAAGAGGGGGAATGTGTAGGGGCAAGCCTCCTAAAAGGAGCTCTGTGGTCTATCAGGGAACAGATAAGCAGATCTGAAACTCCGGACTCCCTCCCCCATGGGTTTACAGCACGGTCAGTCCCATGTGGAGGTCTAGAGGAAATGGCTTTGACCTACTGCACCCTGACCCTCTGAGTTTGGGTGTAAAACAGAATATAGGACAGTGGGACCGGATGTTTTTGGACAACTTCTCTTGTGAAAGGGGATCCTCTTTCTTTCTCTCTCTCTCTCTCTCTCTCTCTCTCTCTCTCTCTCTCTCTCTCTCTCTCTCTCTCTCTCTCTCTCTCTCTCTCTCTCTCTCTCTCTCTCTCTCTCTCTCTCTCTCTCTCTCTCTCTCTCTCTCTCTCTCTCTCTCTCTCTCTCTCTCTTTCTCCGTTGAAAATGTGGGAGGTCTGCCTCACTGAGCCGGCTACAGGACTCTTAAAAGAATGAACCGAGGCTCGCAAAGAGGCCAGCATTCCTTTGAAATGTACGGATAATTGGAACCCGATGGGCTGCAGTCGGAGCGCCTGTTGTGACGGCTGGGTTGCGGGGCCCTCGCCGCCATGGCAACGTGACCACAAGCTAAAGAGGCAACCGTGTTGTTCCTGTGGCCCATTGGCTGCGGCCTTTTTGGATTTCTAGGCGTTCAAAGTGGTCCTCTGGTGTAACAATGACTCATTGTGACAATGGAAGCGCACACTGGGATGAATATGGTGTAAGAAGTATTTCTTCAAGTTAGTGTGATTGCTGTGCAGATATTAATATTTAAATACAATTGCTATAGAAATACATTGTATTTAAATCTCAGCCAGCGTATACAAACAAAAACTAATGCTAATAGCCCATTTACTCTCATTGTATTCATACCACAGCACCTGTATACAGTCCAAAATCCATTCCAATTTCAAAATGTTGATTACTGCGGACTGATAAACTGCATGACTTAAATCAAATGGGAGTGAATGGCTCTCTGTAGACTTTAATATGTTATATAACACAGCACCTGGATACAGTATAAACCCCATTTCAATTTCAAAATGCTTGATAAAATGTACATACGATTATTATGATGATATATTAATTACATTAAAGTCTATAAAGGTCCATTTACTCCCATTGTATTTATAATAGAGCACTTGCATACGGTACATCGATCATGTACATAAGATCAATATTACGACGTCAACAGTTTATGAGTGATGCATTCAGGTCTAATGAAAGCTCCATTCACTGCCACTGCTATATGTCAGTGAGTTTTCATGTTGTTTATGCATAAAATGTGTTGGTCTGCAGGTTTTTTGCAGACAGCTTGGATAAGTTTCTGATTCTTCATTGGCCTTTGCTCTGGAAAAGACGCTCCTTGACTTCATTACGAACATATTCCTCCACCAGGAGGGGCACACAGCTAAAGTGGGAGCCATGCAAAGAAATTGCATGTGTCCTACCACAAGAATGTGGGCTCTGAGTTTTAAGAAGACATTCCCTCTGCCGCTGCTCTTTATAGCAGCAGTCTGGCTCCACAGCCAAGAGCCAAAAGCTTGCTCTCCTTCTCTCTCCATGAAAAGTAAATAGCTTCAATCTGCCACTACTGAAGTCATCACAGAATGTTTACTAAAGGGCCTTTTATGCTGCTGTCGTGAGATGTTGCAATGATTATTATTAACAATGCATTGTTGTGTAGCACTAAAACTATTGATTAATTACTCCTGGCAGGTCTAAATTTCCTTCACTGTTGTACACACCACCTCTGTGTTGGTGATCTTGGCCAGCAGGTCTGTCAGGTTGTCTCGACTCAGCCTCTGGTCAGTGTGGTCCAGCTGCAGGCCACAGACGGCAGCTCCCATGCTGCCAGTGGCGATCATGGAAGGAGGGTTCATGGCAAGGCGGTCATCTGGCGAGGAAAGAGGAAAGAGTATTAATGTGCAATTAGTCAAGCAGCAGCTTTAGGCCATAGCGGCAGACGGAAATCACATTTGTAGCTGTGACAAGAAGAGCTGCAAATGTGTAAAATCAGCTCAGAGGAAGCAGGAGAGATGCATGAGAGGTGCAAACATCTGAACCATCTCCAATATGCATGCTCCACAGCTGAATCTGACTTTCCCACAGTCTGAATTTCAACAGACGTAGCTGCATGGTGTAACCTGTGTGGTTTCCTTCATAGAAACCTCAGCTCTGATTAGAAAAGCAGAGTAGGAATCTTCCTACTCGCTGCGCAATGAGTTCCAGCAGGAAAAGACTCCCTCCGGTACATGTCCAAGTCTAAAGGCTTAAGTGACAACAGGCCTGGATGGAGGAGGCGGAAGAGGAGGCAGCCATGGAGAGTACACCTCCGCAAGCACTGAGCTGGAGTTCCTTTTACCAGCTCATGATGTGGCTGTGAATTAAACCCATTCAGCTCTTGCCTCAACTTTCATTTTATGGGAGACCCTAAAGTTGTAATCACAAAATATCTTATCTAGCCACTAGGAGTCTTCCTAAATAGGTCCCTGCTAAGAGTTAAAACCTTTTCACAAAGCTGCTGAGAAAACCTTTCACAGAGGAACCGAGAGAACTTCTGACCCAAGAGAAGAAGCGAGGTTGACCCCATTCCTATGGCTGACATCATGTTTCATGAATGGACTTACTATGTCTACAGTGATTGGTGAGCGGTTTGTGTCAGTGAATGTGAGGAACAAATATAGATATACCTTGTGACTCCCAGTTGCCCAAACAAATCTATTATTAATTTATTTATTCATAAGCTTATGGTAAGTATTCTATGAACACTGTCGAACAAAGTGGAGTCTGAGGAGCATAATTTAGTTTTGATGGATAATTCAATGGAGAATTTCCAAGTTCATAAGCACTGCAAACTGCATCATCTCTGATGTTAAGCTGCCAGTATGCGTCTTCAGACCTGCTTATCGGACGGTTGAAGAGCTTTGGAAACCCCGTCAGATTAAATGTCCAACCATTTTTGTAACTATTCCAAGCCGATTAACCTGACATTCACTTCAGCTTCATGGTGTGATTGGCCAACTGTGCATTATTGGATTGTTTTTACTAACTTTATTTTACTATTACAATACACTGACTCCTTCCGGTCTCAGTACATGGACATGACCAACACTAATCCTAAAAAGGGCAGGGACTTGGCACACAAAATTATTCAAAAGTCCAACCCAGCAAATAGTCCTAGCCCTGCACAAAAACCAGCCGTGGTGGCCTGATAGCTTTGATTAAACCCTGGAGAGCAGCCTGCTTCACTACGCCCATCTTCTCCTCCAGGGGCCAGCTGTCCATAGGAGGAGCTCCTCCATCATAAGAATAACATCTCAACTCCATATAAAACTCCAAACATTTACATTACTGCATAACCACAGCAGGCCTCTCTTTTTTTTCCACTGCGGCTGCTTTGTGCTTGGATATAACCAGCTGCTTATGAATAGCAGAGGCGACCACTGAAACACACCCAAATATAAAAAAAAGTGTGACACTAAAACTATGCTAAACGGCGCATGAAGCTCATTGAAGGAGTCTATGGTTCCAATAACTAGCTCTAGTAAACAAGTGCTTATTGGCCATATCTGACCGCATTGGCGTTTGTGAGGAATTTCATTGCACTAAAGTGACCTCCTTTGTATTATTTCCATCATTGAATTAGTTGAAAGGAGGTAGCAGATGAAAGGCAGTCTTGTGACAGAGGAGTGCGGTATATTATGTGTATAAGGCGATCCTGCAGTTGTGTTTCTGTCCAGGATATGAAAATATTAGAGGGATTCGTAGTATAGGCATATGAATGCCATGAAAATGTACCTAGGGAGAGGCCTAAGGGGACATCTGAGTTTGTGCTTCTCCAGAGCCTCCAGTTTATTTTGGACATGAGACCGGGATAGGAGGAGGAAGGAAGATCACTGGATCACTGCCCTGACTTTTTAAACCTGGGAGCTTCCCCATCAACAAACAATGCAGGGTGTGCAGAGTATGAGTTCAACTGCACCTCAGTCATATGGCAAAGTGTGTGTACCTCGGGTACAATCACTACCTACGTACGTGGCTTATCTGAACACAGCACTGATTAGTGTTTTCCCAGGAAGTTAGGAGAGAAAACATAGAAATGACCACAGCTTTTAGCAGCTGTGAAGAAAAGCCCCTACTACAGGCTGTGGAGAGACTAGAAAGTGGATAAGGCAGCCAGTGGAGTAAGCGGAGAGAAGAAAGAGGTCACAGATGACTCACGATGGGAGAATGTTTGTGTGTGTGGGAATATTCTGGTGGATGTGGGAATAACAAGGCAGCAAAGTGAGCGTGCGAGTGAGCAAACGAGTAAGAAAAAGGCACATGAAATGATATGCAGCTGTGTTACCTGTGGCACAGAGGGCAATGAATGTCAACGTGTGTTTGCGGACCATCGTCAGCTTGTCTTTGGGAAGGGGCAGCCTGCGTATGATGTGCTCTATAAAATCATTGGGGATGACTGAGGCCATGTTCCACTTCAACTTCCCGAGCACCACCAGTTCCCAGTCCTAAAAGATAGAGAAAAAGATGATAAAAAGGAGGTGTCGGTCAGTTCAAATTCAGTTTCCTGGCAAAATCGACTTAGTCAGAGGGTTAAATGGCGTGTTGCCATGCCTCTATTGACCGTGAAAAGATCACAGTCCGTTCCTTTTCCCAGAGGAAATGGCTCTGTAAGAAGAGTAACATTTCTTCACTTTATCTCTCCTCGCTGTATCTTATTATCTGCATGCCTTTCTCATTCCTCGCATCCTTTGTATTCATATCGCCGGCATGTGACAAGCTTTGCCCTGCTTAGAGGCCCTGCCAATGAGACAGCTAGCCCCTTCCTTCCTGTCACAAGCCTCAAACAGCTAGAATGAGTTTGCACTGCAGAGGCAGCAGCACAGAGCTGACTCTTAATACAGTCAGCTTTTGTAACAGCAAGAAAGGTGCACGTCTTTCATGGTTTAATTTCCTGCGTGTTGAGTCAATCTTAACAATGACGTATGTTTTAATGTCTCCCTGTTTGGCTTTTAGTATTTTAGTAAGAACAGCGATGGGGGGGGAAAAAAAAACAAGAAATCAAATTAAAAAAGGTGTATATGCACACATGAACTGATGCTTGCGTTTTAAGATGTAAAAATGTGTACTGATACGCTGACATTTGCCAAAATCACACATGCCTGCAGACTCCTAAGCACAAAAAGTTAATTAGAAAAGTGCAGCGACAGAACGACCGGCCATTATCAGAACCAACGAGACTCTCCATGGAGAACTCATTTGTATCCAAGAAACAAAATAACCAGTGACACCATTTTCAGGTTTTCACATTTGCAGCCAATCAAATGGCCGCCGCCTCCCTCCCTCAGTTTCCAGAAGTCGTGCTACGCCAATTTACTGACGAGATTCTGTTCAGAGAATACACTCTCACCATTTCCAACTCTTATCCCCGCATACGACAATCACATATTGCAAGTCTGCATTTGCCATGTACGTATTCAAAATGAAGGTCTTGATTATGCTTCCATATTTCTCACCAACCTACTCAACAGTCCTGCTGTAGTGACGCATCAGAGTTGGTCTGTAAAGGTTTGCAGTTTGCAGCATTTCCTGACATTTCTCATCTTGGTCCGAGCCCCGCCCCAAATCGAGTCATCTATTCTCACTTCATAGTATGAGAAACCAAGCCCATGATAAAGACACTTGCAGGCCATTCCGAAATGTCTCAGGCATCATTTCATTATGATTTCAGAATCACTTAGTTAAGCAGGAAGAACCCACACATCATTACATTACTGAGTAAAGTGTTATGCCTGTGTTTCCATTAATAGACACATTTATGTAGAAACAAATACGAGAAACACTCTGATAAAAAAATAAAAATGCTGATGAATTCAACTTCTCACTTGCTCTATGGAGAAGTGTCACCTAAAAAGCAAACGTAGTAAACACCAAAAGCCCCAACGCCATAACACCAGCAGGGACAGTCCCCCCTATCAACACTTATCTGTCATCATATACATTTACATGGGTTTCCTGTACATAACCTGCTACACACATTTGCACTTAGCCTATTTTAGCCTGTGTGGGGATTGTTGACTATGAGATGAGCAGGGCGGAGGTTTGCCGTCGGTGTTCTCACTTCCTGGACAGCTGCCCCGACGCAACCACCCCTCCGCCCTCTTCAGCTTCTCTCTTCCAGCTGAAGCACCGGCAGCAGCAGAGTGTTCATTACAAGAAGAGCAGCAGCATCTTTCACTGGCTCTTGCTGCCTTCTCTGTGCATCCTGTCAGGATATCCAGGAATCTGGAGTCTTACAACAATATGGAGCATCAAATGGGACGAATGTCATTTCCCTCAACAGCTGCAGGCAACACAAGAGGATGTATAGAGAGCATGTGGAGCTGTTTGATTGAAATAAGAAGCAGGTCCAACTTCAGATTGTAAAATGGTCTAGAACTTAGCTGATTTATTAGTCGATCGACAATTAATTCATTGTTTAAGTCATATTTAAGCACTGGATTGAAGGATTTGCTGCTTTTTTGGGGGGCTGCAACTAATGATTCTCATTTTTGTAGACAAGTTGTCAAAAGATAAAGCAAAAAACAGGCATTGTATGTTTTTTCATTTATATTTTTGTTGTCTTTACATTCGGTGTTTTGTCCGACCAACAGTCCCAACCACAAAGATATACAGTTAACTATCGCCTAAGGCAAAGAAGAGCTGCAAATTATCGCATTGAAGGGCCTGAATTTCTGGAATTCTTGTTTAATTTTGTCATTTAGCTCTACTTTTTTTTTTTTTTTTGTCATAGCTCTGTGATAGTAAACCGTATATCTGAGGAGAGCCCGAACATCTACAGGAACATCACAACTACGCAAACGTAATCTGCTGATGAAGATACGGTAGAAAGCTCCAGAACAAGCTCATACGTAGATCTTGAGTGGAGGTTGTTTTGTCAACTTAATATTTTGGTTATTGGACAAAACATCAAGAAAATAGTGACTTTTTACGATTTTCCGACATTTTATAGAACAAATGATTCATCAAGAATACAGTTGATTTCTCCAACTGGTCTCAAAGTTTGTTTAATAACGCGCATTGTTAAAGTAAAGAACTGTATTCTTCTGAATGCCGTACAGAGATATACTCCTCTTGTATACTACTCATACGTATGTGTGGAGGTAAGATTAAAGGGTATTCAGACATCTTTGTCAGTATGAAACCTTCTGTATCTAATAGAGAAACTCCATGTACTGCAAGATAACCAAAAATCTATACTGCATAACTGGCACTAGATGGCAACACACGCCACTTCAGGCCACATGGATCCAAAGAAAGGATGTGGCTGTATTGTGCACAGCTCCACTTATAAAGGAAAAATGGGATACTTCCTGTGAAACCAATATAGCCATTAGCATTATAAAATCATCCCAAAATATGACACTGCTTTTTTTATGCTCGAATGAATGAATGTGAGGGGGGGGGCTTTCATGTCCAGTTCTTACCAGCAGTTCCCGTGGTGTGATGGAGTTGTCTGTGTACATGCAAAGTTTTTCTGCTGAAAGTGGCCTGCTGTCCTTTAACTTGGAGGCCAGGAAAATGCACACAGCTCCCAGAAGCTGCAAATAATTCTTTCTTGTGGGCATCACTGCTAAAAATCTGTCCAAATAATTAATGGCTAAAGGGAAGACGTCTTCATTACTCTTCTCCTCTTCACACACCTACAAAGGAGACAGAAATGTAGCAGAAAAACACATATTTGGCATAAATGTGTGTACAAATATATACAAAAGTACAATTTTATAAAAGAAAACTAGACTATTTATAAGTGCTTTAAAGCAGAGGAGCAGCTGGAGGTGAGGGGTTGGTTTTTATGCTGGGATTTTTTCCATGCTTGTCTTTGGATTAAAAGGTTAAATCACAAACTTTCATATCACTTTACTGCCAGGCTGCAAAGTCAAGGCAAGGCAGAAACAAATTAGTTCAATAGGAAGTCGTTCAGAAAAAAAAAAAAAAAAACCGACGCCATTCAACTCCTCTTCCTTGTTGGGGCTTGTCGTCTTTCAAAAAATGATTTAAAAATAGAAACTAACCATATAGTCGCTTTAAAACGTGTGCACAATGTTACCAAGTGGACTTAAAACAGTTCCCGACAGTTACAAAGACAATATTTTGTCAACAAGAAGTGTTTTTTTAATCCTCAAAAATGAAAGTGGTTTAGCATGCACGTTGTCCGACAGGAGGCAACGAGCTTGAGTCACTTTAGAAAATTAATAATAATTATTAGGAAGGGGACATGTCGGATTTTCGATCATGTAAATTAAGACCAACTTCCCCTCTGACACCTGAGATAGCTAGTTAGCAAAAAGCACCAACTTTGTAGCAGTAAACTAATGTAAATATCCAGCTAGGCTATTTCTTTGAAGCTGAATTTTCTTCGTGGTGGAATTTCCGACTCTCCCACGCCTTTTGGTGAGTCATTCTCATTCAATTGTCAAATAGGTCAACATCCATGACAACTCCTCTCTTAACTTAAATACAACACAGCGTATGGGATATGTGTGTAAACATGCAACAACAACAACAACAACAAGAAGAAATCATTAGCTAAAGCAGATATGAAGGGGAGGGTTAGCTCATCATAAAGTGCAACACAAACCTCGTGCATCCAACCTGCAACCATTCGTCTCATATAGGGCTGAATATCCTTCTGGACCCGCTGGAAATATGAACTTTGAGGTAAAAACCTGTCCTCAATTGTTAATAAACTTTGCAACACTCTGTCATCATAGAGGATGTTTGGGTCAGGCTGGGCTTTCACGGCTATGTCCGACTCCAGGCAATAAAGCTCCATGACTCGGCCCCCTTCTCCCCCTCCTCTCCTCTCCTCTCCTTTTTTTTTTTTTTTTTTTTTTTTTTTATAATTTTCTTTTCTGTGTGTCTCTCTCTCCCCCCCCTCCCCCTTTTGGCTAAATAATAAAAAAAAATAAAAAAATAAATATTGTCACAATATTGTCGAGAGCGGACAGGAGGAGGAGGAGAAGTGCCCAGGATGAAGCATGAGGCTGAGACTGCTGGGTTTGCTCCAGTCCTGCTTGCCTCTCACTTCGCTGCTTCCTCTATGCTCTACGTCAAAGCCGACGCAACCTGGAAAGACAACGTCCGGCTACGGATTTCAGAATAAAAGCCCGCTGTTGAATCAGAGTCCGAAAATACTGTGATTGATTGATTGGAAATGTGTTTGTTACTGCTGCTCAAGGTGCTCACACGAAATTTAGAATAGAAATAGTAATTATATTACAATATATAACAATATATCTAGAAATAGAAATAGAAATGCATAAAAAAAATATATATATATACACATAAAATAAATATATAGCATGGATAAAAGTCTATTATAATTCAATATATGACAATAAATAGAGATATAAGTAAGTGTATGCTACAGTATATGACTGATAGAAGTGTAATGAAAAGCAGCAGGGAGTACTGATAATGTTAATAATAGGCTAAGTTCTGATAATGTTAACATTATTAAATTATATACAATTATTTTTATATTCTTAACTTTATTCTACTCTTCTACTTGTGTGTTGCCTAAGAGAGTTGGGCAAAGTAAGATTTTCATTGTACGTATAAACCACTGTGTTTCTTACTGTATATATAATAATAAACCTCTTGAATCTTGAATCTTAATATGTTGACATCCTTAAAAAGACTGCAGTATTAGTGACAGATTAAGCCAGAGTATTGCACATTAACCCGAGTATTGCACATTAAAAAGAGCAGGTACAAACCCTGCTCTTTCTGTAAACTGCTCTTCTAGGAACTGGTTTCCTGGTTTCCGGCCTCTGTCTGCTTTACTTTCTTAACAATACTTTGAAAGAGGCAGGCACCCCGACCATGACGTAGGCCTCATCTACTTCACAACTGGTTGGTTCAGACTACAGCCTACTTTTGTGGTGCCTTTAGATGCCTCTGCATGAAATATAGGATTATAACAACAGTGGACAGCTTATATGTTATAAGAGTTTTTCATTTTCTGCTTATTCTAAAAATGAAGCGAGCCAGCTGGTATGTGCAGAATAACTTTAATGATAATAATAATAAGCAGCTTTATCATCATAATGTAAATATAAAATATTAAAGCATCTAAAACATCCACTGTGCATACACATTATAAATTATATTATTTTACAATTGAAATACACATTTTTACATGTACACATCATCATCATTATTGTTAGATAAAAACCTAAGCATGTGTGTGTGTATATAAACATGTATATACTGTATTGCAGTCTATTTATCCACCTATTTATTTTATATAAAGTAATTTATTAGATTACACACTCTATATGTTTTCCTTTGCACTATTTGAATTTACAGTACAATCTACAGTTTACAGAAACATTTGTATTGATCAATGTCACTTTTTATATAAGCCTATATTTACCCATCTACTTTTTGCACCTGCTTATATGGACATTATAGTTAAATGTTTATGTTTATCTATCTTTCTTTAGGTTTGTCACCCTTGTTTTAAGCTATATCTATTTCTATCTTCCTGTAAATTATTCTTAGAGCTGTGTGTAACATTGAGAGCATATATTATTTAGTGACTTGGCCAATAAAGCATACATATGTATACATACCAGGCGAATAAAGCTGACTGAGAATCTGATTAAAATAAACCAAACCAATTAGTTTATTTATTTTGCAAGTATTTCTAGCTTAGTTGTTTTTATTTTTTTTAAGTAAGAGAAAAATGAAACATGAATCATAAAACAGTTACCCTCCATTAAATACCAATCAATATCTATAGCTGGCTAATAATGCAATTGTCCTGCCATCAACTGGGCCCCTGAAAGAATTTACTCAAGCCCCCAAATCCCATAATTTGTAGCCTAAATGATACAGATGTTATATTATATGGAGACTTCATACATCTCTAACTACACAAAATCACTTCTTCTGTGCCATCTCTCTTTAAAGACCTAGCTGTTATCAGATGTTTAGCACAGTAGATCATCTCCATACTTCTAAATCGCCATATAAGTTGTGCAATTATAAATGGCAAAACTTATGTTTAGGTTACTGTTTGATACTTGCTTGAAGGCAGCGTAAGAGTGAATATCAACAAGAACACTGCTGTATTGCAAATTGGAAAAATGCCACATCACTGGTGTACAAATCATAGATAGTTTACATTATTATGTGTAGTTTATGGTACAAATCAGCACTTTGCACTGTCTGCCATTGGGCCTGTATATCTCCTTCCCAAATGGCCAGACATATTTAAGGGACCATGTAATAAATCAGGGACATAACCTCTTATTAATACCGCCACTTAAATACATAACAAGCTAAATGTGGCGCATTAACACTGATGCAGACATTAGAGTACATAAAGAGTTCTTAATCGTTCTCTGCTGCTTGCTTACAGGACACCATCTGTACTAAATTTATCTGATAGTCAGGATCATGTCTCTAATTGAAAATGCAGCAGAAAGATCTCTCAGTCACCTTATATTTCACACTTCACACTGGACTTCCTGTCGTTTCATTGAAGTGTAACTGCACCCTTTAGTTCTGCTTCCTCCTTCCCTCTCAGCAAATTGTAAAAATGCATCCGAGACCTGCAAAGGACAGGGACTTTCGGGGACGTGGCCTCGGCACAGAGTTATTGACAGACCGACCACAGCAGCGTAGCAGAAACAGCGAGCTGTCGGAGCTAATGAGCAGCTGCAGAAGTACTTTGATGGAAGTTTCTGTGTGGTACCTGTGTTGTAAGCTGGCGTAATGCGAAATGTATGTAAAACAAGTACAGCAGTTTCATAGACTTTTTATAGACTGGGGGAGGTGGGCTGCCCTCCTCTGATTAGAGGGCGTTAATACAGTTTTTTAATATAAATGTCATCGCGAAGAGTCGACCTTTTCTATCTCAGTATTTGTCTTAAAACGTACAGGGTGATTTCAAACTGTAGAGGGCATGTTAAGACATTTCTAACCCAAACCATGTTAATTTTCATAGATTTTATAATAATGTAAATTTTAACACCAGCATTGTTGTGTTTAACCTCATATCATTAGGTTTACAGCTCTTTAAAGCTGCAAATGTGCATGGGCTCTGTTCTACATTCAACCTTTTTTCATACTGATATTACGAAAAAATAACTAGAACCGCAATGTTTACCTAGATGTCTCCTACGGTTTATTCTGGTTAGCTGTAGGTGGTCCAAAGCACCTGCAAAGTGAAGCTTTTGTATATTTTTTGTGGAGTCACAGCTTCTATTTACTTTTACAACGTTTATTTTTTTGTGGGAAATGATTCTGACACTCCTCATCCCTGAACCTAACCAACCAGCCAAACAGCAACTGGGAAAGAAATCACCTTTCAAACATTTAATGTAGGCCTACCAGAACCTGAATTATGAATCTCATAGCCTAAGGTTTGGTATGTTGAGATAAATGTCATTACATTTTGGGCACAGTCTCTTCTGTGACTCTGCCTTCAGGTTCATCCTGCTGCTGCGGTTAAATATCCTGCTGTGCAGCTTGTCTTTATAGCTCATATGCAGATTTTATCGTAGTCAACATGTTAGCATTGTTATTGCATAAAGCAACTCCTTTTTTAGCATTGCTGTAGATTATTGGTCTTGTTATGACGTGTATCTTGGTACACAATGGTATCTCTTGTTTGTAGATTTTCCTTTATTGTAAGTGATACCACAGGTTCACTATCTAATAATGCATGTGTGCTTCAATTCAGTACACAGCGTCTCTTAAACATTCATTTGTGCCTTTAATCAGGTCATAGTCCTGCCACATGAGCTTGGATTCATGGGACACAACGTGATGTTGGAGACATCCTTATGGCGAAGGGTGTGGACGGCATGTTGATCCCATTCCAGGGAAAAGTTTTCCGTTAAGGAAGTCCTTTGGCATGCCAAAGGATGAAAGTATGAGGATGGACATGCAAATCTGCAGAGATTGCTTGTGGTGTCTCCAGGATGTCTAAAAGTGTTTGTTATTTTGTCCTTCTAAGACAGGATCTAAACTGAAAAAGGTAGGATTATAATAGAAGAGGAAGTCATGGCTTTGTCAACTCCCTATCACTTTTCATGTCTGAAGGCCATTTCAGTACAGTTTCTTTTCTCCGTGCAGATGTAAGTGGTAAATTTCTTATCAAAGGCATCAAAACATTTGCTGTTTCCGATCGCGTGTAAGCATATTTATAGTCAGACCAAACGGAATGACAGGAGCTGAACTGAACCACTTCTCACTGGAACGACTTCACAAACGTTCCCCTTTCACAGTCGCCACCAGAGAGCTGAATGAGATATGGAGTTTCATTGAGAGAAAAAAAAAGAGAGAGAGCACTGTGGGGCTATTATGAGAGCAGACTGTGAAGTGAGAGTGGGAACTGTCTCTGAGAGAATGTCAAGGTTAGCAAGATTAGTTCTACTTCAAAGGGGGGTGGGTGTATGTTTGAGAGGATTCATCTTAGAATTGAGATTTCATGTAGGAGGGTTATCCCTTTGTCTGTTCATGGAGAGGCTGACAAATCCCTGGGTCAATGTTTTTGTCCAAAGGGGGTCTCTCCACAAGAGGCCAAAGAAGCCTACCATACCAGACAGTCAAAGCCTGACACTTGAGGGAAACAGAGGTGTTAGACAGATAAAGCAGCCTTACCCAGTTGCTGCTGTTAGTGCATGTGTCCTATGATAACACATGTCAGCCGCTATCACACACTCCGGGCTCCACAGAGGTAACAGAGAGCGCCCAAAGCCCTGGGAAAACGTGGAGGAGCGTGAAATCACCTTGATCCAAAGATTCCTGCTGCATACCAGTCCACTGAACCCACCAGAGCACAGGGGCCCGGAGATGGGCAGACTGCCACAGATCAAGAGAAA